TGGTTGTTGGCAAGTCAGCGTGCAACAGAAGCTGGACAGTGACTTGCTCTTACAGCATTTCAGGCCCCCACATTCCATACTATCTGGTATAGAACTCCGTCGGCTCTACCCTGCACATATGCCTGCCACTCGCAGACAGACAAGTCACAGGAAGCACACTGTTTCCAGATGAGGGAACCAAGGCTCAAAGAAGACAAGAGGATGGCTGTAGGCACCAAGGAGTTGGCCGCAGAGTCCAGCCCCTGCTCCAACTGCCCAGGAACCACCTGATCCTTCTTTGGGCAAGACCAAGCTATTGCATGCACTGTAGGTGGGTGTCAGATCAGTGTCCCAGGTGCCCCAGGCTGGGCCAGCCCTATGATTTTACACCCTGACTACCTTCCTCACCAAATGGGACCTATGTTAAATATGAGGATAGACTTGGCGCTTCTTGAGGACACAGACAGGCTTTATCTTGTGCAGCCCCAAACACTGTTGCTGGATGAACCACAAAAGGCACTCAAGAAACGTGATGCCAAGCACGGTGACAGGTGCCTGTAATCCTAGCTTCTCCAGGGGCTGAGGCAGGAGGATTGCAAGTTCAAGGCCAGCTATGGCAATGTAGTGAGACCCTGTCTCAAAATGAAAAGCAAAAAGACCTGAGATGCAGCTCAGCACTCCCTGGGTTCAATCCCCAGTACCATCAAAAAAAGGAAAGAAAAAAACAGAAGAAGGAGAAGAAGAAATACTTGACATTAGTGATGCTAATGATAAAAATAACTAACACAGTGCACACCTATTATGTGATAGTCACTGTGTAGGCAGATTACACCCAGGAGCACATCCAATTTTCACAACCTCCCTATGAAAGAAGGAATAGATTGAGGAGTCTGAGGGGTTCTCCTGAGCTGAGTTTACCTGACACGGGGCCCAGCCCCGAGACCTGGGGTGTGCTGAGCTCAGTAGAGTCCTGAGAATGCCTCAGCAGACCGAGAACACAGAGGAGGGTAGAGGAGGGGAGGGAAGGCTTGCTCTGGCACCTGTAGCTTCCAAATGCTCCAGCTGTCGGTGGCAACACTGTTGACTGTCTCACTCATGAGGGCGATAAGCATGTTGAGCAGCAGGACGTAGGTGAGCATAACGTAGGCCAGCAGCAGCAACAACACCACCCCGCGGAAGCGCAGCTGGTCCTGGAAGGCCAGCTCGCCCATGCCGATGGTGAATTTGAAGAGCTCCAATGAGGCATCTAGGATGGTCCTGTACGGGGCCACCTCGTCCTCCTGTCCTATCCCAGCCTGAGCAACCTCTGTGGCATTGACGCTTGCAGGGACTTTGGGGCCCCGGGACTCCCGGCTCAGGCTCACCAGGGCTGGAAGGACAGAGGGGCTCCTCAAGATGGGGAGACCAACAGGCAACCTTGAGCGTGTACATGGCAGGGAGGGGATAAGGAGAGGCCAGAGGGTCTTTACCAATAGCGAAGCCAAAAAGGAAGACTAAGTAGACCAGCAGGAAGCGGAGCAGGTCCCACAGGATAACCTGGAAGACACAAGCACATGAGCTGGTCTGGGTGGCTGGGCCACCACACATGACTCCCCAGACCCAGTACTGAACACAGTTCCCAATGTATAGCCACACAGTCGTGCACATGCACACATGTATAGAAGGTATATAGAATGAGTGTTTAAATTTTTTTTTAATTGTTACATTAAATATCACACTGCCATTAATCCCCCTTCATTTGAACACACTTATCCCATTGTTCTTACCACTTCCTGAAATAATTCTGGAAATCCTCTTTCATGAGCGTCTTTGTAAGGTGTGAAAAAAAAATATACAGTGAATGCTACTGCTTCCACTATATCCAACAGAAAGCCAGACTTGTAAAAATAATACAGTGGTTCCTCATCCACCTTTTTTGGGGGGAGGGATCGAGCTTGGGTCCTTGCACTTGCTGGGCAGGCAGCCGAACCACTTAGCTAAATCCCCCACCCTATCCACCTTTTTAATGAGATGTGGTACTGTGTCACTTCTGGCACTTACTGAAAGTCAAAATGTCCATGAAATAAACATTTTAAATTGATAGAGGGCATTGAAAACAGAGACTCAGGCCAGCCCTAGTGGCACACACCTGTAATTCCAGCACTCAGAAGGCTGAGGCAAGTGGATCACTGCTAATTCAAGGCCAGCCTAGACTATATAGTGAGTTCAAGGTCAGCCTGAACTACAAAGCAAGACCTTATCTCAAAAAGAAAAACAGAAAATAAAGACTCAAACAGATATTTGTACACCGTATTCATAACAGTACTATACTATTCACAATAGCCAAGTTAGGGAACAAACAAGTGTCCATCCACCGGTAAATGGGTACACAAAATGTGTATCATATCGTAAGATCCCATTCAACGGTAAAAGGAAGTAAAACTGTCACATGCAGCAACATGGATGAACCTTGAAGACATTGTGGTAAGTGAAATAAGGCACTCACTGGACAAATACTATGTAATTCCACTTACATGAAGTTTCTAGAACCAGTAAATCATACAGACAGAAAGTAAAGGGTGATTGCCAGGCTGAGAGAAGGAAAAAATGTGTTCTTTAATGGGCATCAAGTTTGTTTATTAAGATGAAACAGTTCTGGAGAGAGATGATGATGATGATGATGATGGCTGCATAACAATGGGAATGTATTTAACACCATTAACCATTCACTTAAAATGGTACATTTTTTTTCTGCCAGTATTAGAAATCGAACTCAGGACTTTGCACTTGCCAGGCAGGCGCATCACCACTGAGCTAAATCCCCAGCAAAGTGGTAAATTTTTTTTGTTTCTTTGTTTTTGTGAGGCAGGGTCTCCCTTTGTAGTTCAGGCTGGCCGTGAACTCACTATGCAGCCCAGCCTGGGCTCATACTCTCAGTGATCCTCCTGCCTCAGCCTTGAGAGTGCCAGGATTGGAGCCAGAGATTTAGCTCAGTAGTGCCGCCGCCTGCCTCAAAAGTGCCAAATCCTGAGTTCAATCCCCACTACCAAAAAAAAAAAAAAAAAAGAGTGCCAGGATAACAGGTAAGCACCACCATGATCAGTAAATTTTTATATTAGCCCTTTTTTTATTTGAGATACAGTCTCATTATGTAGTTCAGTCTAGCTTTGAACTCCTGATGGAGACCAGGCTGCCTCAAACTCGTGGCATCCTCCTAACTTAGCCTCCCTTGGTCTAGGCTCTTGACTTCTCCCAATGGACAAAGCTGCTGACCCCAACCTGCCTGCAAACTTCCTCTCCACTCTGCCTCACTCTCCCCATCTACCTGGCCTCTTGGCTCTGTCTCATGCACTCAGCTTGTCCTGACTCACTGTCTTCACCTTTGTTATTCCCTCTGTGGAGGATGCGTCTTCCTTGACCTTGACTCTACTGTGGCTCAATCATTCTATCAGATCTCCACTTAGACATCAGCTCTCTAAAGCACCCTCCACCTCATTTGTCTTCCATCATATTGTCCTATGATGTTCCTTTATACAGTTTAGAAGTTGGCAGTGTTGTCAGGTGTTTTCTTAGTGTTTTCCCCCGCTGAACCGTCAGCCTCAGCAGGACTTGTCTCTTTTGCTCACTGTTGTTACTACCAACACTTACAACAACACCTAGACTATAGTGGGCGCTCCTTAAACATTTATGGAATAAATGGATGGATGCACATGCCCTCCTGTCCCAGGGCACAGACATACATATGAGCGTATCCTCTACTTCTTTGTGAAGAAGGGTGCACGTGCTCTGGTGTGATTGTGTCCAAACACTCATGTGCGTGTGTCTGTGTGTCCGTGAGTGCCCATAAAGTACTTGCACGAACATTGGGCGAACATCTGGGTGAATGACACTCAGGTGGGCAGGCTCATGCCCTCCTCTGCCCAGGTTCGCTGTGGAGGAAGACTGCTGTTTCTTGAGGCCAAAGGGAGTCCCTCTGGGCTGTGGTGTCCACCCCTGCCCCATCGCTCACCTTCTGGATCATGACACTGTAGATGCCCGTGTACTGGAAGCCTCGTGTGTAGTAAAGCAGGTTCAGCCAGCCCAGCACCAGTGAGGACACAAGCAGGGGCAGGTACCACTCAATGGACGAGAAACGCAAGACCTGGGATAGCACTGTGAGCAGGGCCTGGGCCAGGCTGTAGGGGGCAGGGTTCCAGTCAGCTCCCAGGCCACACTTGGCAATATCCCCCGATTCCTACTGGCCAGCCCAGACCATAACTGCGGCTCCCAACGTAGTCTGGTGTTTTGAAATATTCTTCCTTTGGGACTGAACCAAATCAGGGCTGGACAACTTAGCCTTTGTGGGCCTCGGTTCCCTCTCCTATCAAATAGGCATAATAATTGACACTGACTGAGAGTGCTTTCAAGGACTAAGTGAGACACTACACGGAAAGTGTCAAGGCACCACAGGTGTGCCATGAGGGCTTAGTAAGGTTAACCATCACAAGCATGATCCACAAGGACAGGAGTGGGAAGGACTCCCAGCTGGACAGTAGCCAGGACTCCCACGTCTGGCCTGTGCTCAGGTCCCGACCCTCTGGAACTCCCTGGGCTGCCCCAGCATGATTGCCTCTAAATCCAGCCTGGTGCCCTCTTCCATACCCACCTCCCCCAGGCCTCACAGACAGCGTGCAGTAGGAGTGACAGCACACATACAAGAGGATTTCAAAGTAGCTGTCCATGAATGAGATCCAGATGAACAGGCGGCGCCGCCAGAAGCACCACAGCTGTGGAAAAGGAGAACAGAAGGTGTGAAATTTGTTCTTCAGGCACAAGAAGCCAGCTGTCCCTCGGGATTGCCAGGACCCCTGCTCACCCACATGCTCCCTGCCTGCTGGCCTGCCTGCATCAGGGCCTGGTGAGCACCATTTTGGAGTTAACACAGCAGCTTTGACTTTAGGGATCTCATGAATCCTTTTAATAACTGAGATGTCCACGAATCCTCTTTTGAAAAGGAACACGTGAGCTGAGGCTGCGCTGAGCGTGCAAGAGGCCCTGAGCACCATCCCCAGTTCTGAGGAGGGGGAGAACAGCCTCACACAGGCACTCAGACAGTGCCAGGGGCCTCCTGGCCCCCATGGAATCAGATGAAGGGCCCACATACTGCATGTGCAGAAGAGTGCTCCTTTCCTCCTCCTCTCCATTGCCTCCTGGGGAGCACTCTGTACTCCAGACAACCTGAGTGTGGTACCTAATTCTGCCAACTCTAAGAAGGTCCCAACATTTTGGTGTGCAGCCTGACTCTTGCAATCTTGCGACTTTTCTACCTGGGAATGCTCTGCTGCAAGAGTTGGGCTGAGTCCCACCTGCCATCAGCCTTCTGTGCTCCCCAAGTGATGAAGGTCAGCTGAGGGATTCAGGGCAAGAGGCTTCCCGGCTTGATCTTCAGGGAAGCAGAGACTAAACTGGCAAGGAGTCAGAGAAGTCATCTGCTACCCTATGGGTATCCCAAAAGGCACAGAAGGGACAGTATCAGAGCCCCACAGAAGGCATGGCTAGAACCTGTGGCCCTCCATTGCCTGCAGGCTGGTCTGGGTGGAACTGGGTATGGGAGTCCCTTCCCCCATCAATGAAGGGATTGTTTCTAAACTCATTGCCCTGTAGCAGAATTTTAGGTTTGCCCCTTAGTCAAATAGAGCCACATGAGGTAGGGAAAGGAGAGAAGCTCTCACCTGGACAAGGAGGAGGTAGATCCCCCCAAGAAGGATGAAGATGTGGCCCAGCAGAAGCCACATTCCGGGTGATGAATCCAGCCATGAGAAGGCCTGCTGAGGACACATACAGACTCAGATAAGTCCTGGTGCCGGAAGTCCTCTCCCCATCAGCTCGCAGCATAGCTCAGGGGCCATTCTGAGCCTACACTATGGAGCACCAGAGGGAACATGGTCTCTGGGGAAGAACCCCTGGACTCAAGTGCCTTGAGAGGCACATTGTGTAGCAATTAAAAACATACGCTTTGGAGCCAGACTGTCTGGGTTCAGATCCTGACTCCACCACTTACAGGGTGTGTGACCTTGGGTAAGTTACTTAACCTCTCTAGAGGTGCCTCCCTTCTCTCAAGTATAACTGAGGATGACAATAGTTTGTTATTCCAGAGGGTTATTGTGAGCATTCATGAGTTAACACATATCAATCATGTATGGTGAGCACTCAGTAAATATTTACTATGACAACTGTCATTACTACTAGGGGACTGGCTTCTATAATTGATACTCCCACCCTGGATGCTTCACTCAGGCTGCCTTTGTAGGATGGGGATGGTGGTCCCTGTCCAAGCTCCCTCCAGTGTTACTTCAACCAGGTTTCCCTAGTGACTTCTCTCCCTGCCCTTGCCTGGTCCAGGGCTGGCTGGTGGTAGGCAACAGCAGTGAAAATGAGCATGTAGATCAGATAACACAGGAAGTTGAAGAAGAACTTGGAGATAAACTGATCCCATTTCGCCTGCAGCAGTTTGTTCAGTGGCTCCAAAACTACCATTCGATGTCGGTGCTGGGGGAAAGAGGAGAGCCTTCAATATACACATTGACAGCATAAAGACAGCAGGTATGGATAGAGCACCTACTTCATGCTAGGCTCCGTGCAAGGTTGAAGGGAAATAAAGGGGAAATGACCCTCAAATGGTCCCTCCTCACCTGCCTCCACCCCAGCTCTTCATATCCCAGCTATATAGATTACAAGGGCCTCCCCCTCCATCCCACAGCAGAGGATGGTCAACAGAGAGAACCCAGTGATTGCCACAGGAATGTGGCATGAGCCCTATGTTGCATGGTCCAAAGTGTAGAATCTTAAATATGGGTCTGATGGCCAGGGTCAGGGACATGCAGCCACACCCCCAATGGGACAGAGCAGATGTGTTCCAGCAAGTGGCCATGACTTGTGGACCTTGCCAGGAGCTCCGCTAGACCCTCTGGGCATGGCTGTGCTCTCTTGGACTCACTGGGCTCTTGCAGTGAAAGGCGATGATCTCCAGCACTGAGTTCTCCTCCCAGCTGTCCACAGAGGCCAGGTCATATAGTGATACCCGGACAGGTCCATAACACCACTCGGTAAACTTTCGGGAAAGGGCCTGGCATGGCCCTGAGAACTCCCGCTGCAGGATGTGCTTGAAAATCTGCAGGGTGACCACATGAGTTTACTGGCTGGGCCCTCTCCCAGCCCTGATGCTGGGCCAAGCCTGGGAAACAGCCAGCACCCTGCAGAGCTACCCATCTGCAGAGCTGCAGCACGTGTGTGCTGAGCCCCATATAGGGGTCCTTGTAAGTCTCAATTCACACATCCATCCACACATGCTCAGTCACACACACAGGGCAGAATCTTTGGCCCACCCTCCCACATAGGTGATCCTCCTGCCTCAACCTCCCAAGTAGCTAGGATTACAAATTTACACCACTCTTTCTACCAAAAAACTTCCAC